CACACACACACACACACACACACACACACACACACACACACACCACAGCCAGCTCACCCTCTCCTTCTCTCCTGCTTTCACATATCCCTGATTACTCATTTCTCCTGCCAAATGTCTTGGTTCCTGCACTGAACAACACACTTCCTCTCTGTCTCTGCTTCCCTGAAACCATTTGTGAAATGACGATAATCACACCTCCTACCTGCCAGCCCTGCTGCAGCCTCTGCCCCCCCCACCACAGTGAGAAGGACAAATGGGCTGGACTGGTTGTGGCTGGAGCGGGCCCTGCCACTGGGGCTGGCCCTGCTGGCAGAGGATCATGGGATCACAGGGCCCTGGCAGGGACTTAGGGGCAAGAGAGGTGATCTACTCTTGAACCACAGACTCCCCTCCCCAGTATCCCCACCAAGGGGCTCTCCAGGGCCACTGAGCTCCCTCTGCCCTTCTGGACTGTTCACACAGAGATAAAACGGGGATCTCCCGATACGGGTGCACTGCAGCGGGGGCTACGGGTGTGATGCAAGGAAGGCTGGGCTGCAGGAGGTACTACTTGGTTTCATGGAGGACAAGGGTGCACTGTCCCGGTCCCTGGTCTCAGTGTTGCTCCCCAACTGTACACGTGCAAATAAAGTTGTTTCTAAGGGAGCCCCTTGGGCCCAGAGCTGGGGCAGGGCCAGGGCCTGCGGCCAGCCAGGTGGCTTCCATTAGGTGCTAACTGGCCCAGGACAGCAGAGCCACTAATCTCAGGTTTATGGGGTGGCCCCGCTCGCCAAGGCACAAGGGTGCACAAAGAAAAACTGGACTTTGCCAACCCCGCATGGTTTTTCCTCGCTTTTTGTACTGCTTCCCACTCCCGAGCTTTCTCTTTCACTCCTGGTTTCTTCTGTTTCTCAACCTCTGAATCGCGCAGGGTCTCCCTTGGGCTCTGCCGGACCTCTGGGCTCCCTAACGTCTCCCCGCTCCTCACTCCCCACCTTCCGCCTTGGTTCTTCTTTCCCCTCCCTCCGCCTGTCTTCGCAGAGGTACCTTTTGGAGAGGAGCTTTGCTTGCTGCCGTGTCGAACACCACTCTTCCTCTATGCTCTTGCTCTGGGCCATTTTTGCCCCCCTAGAGTCACTCATCCTCCTTCTCTCCTTTCTTGTCTCTCCTGGCTGAGCTGCCTTTTCCTCCTGGGCAGCAGCAGGGGCTGACATGCGCAATGTGGGGAGCAGATGTGGGACGCCTGGCCTCCGCCCCCGCCCCTGCCCAGCAGATGCGGCTCTTCGGGTGGATGAGCAGCCCCATGAGCCCTCCTGGTCCAGGCCTGCCAAGCTCACGCACTTTCTTAGCCTGTCCAGCTATGCTGGCTTTGGCAGGGGTTTTGATTGACAACAGGAAAGAAAGTGAAACACATAAAAGAGAAAAAACGCAGCCGCCTAGCAACTGAATGGAAGCAGAGCAATGAACGACGAGCTTCCTGCAGCCGCCTGGCTTGGAGGGTGCTGCGTGGATTGGAGCAGGGGCTGGAAAGAGAAGACCCTAAGTATCTAGGGTCTTAGACGCTAGGTACCAGCTTCGTGCGCAGGCTCTGGGTCAGACAGTGTCGGGCCGGATCTTCACAGCAGCCTGGCACCCAGATGAGGAGACTGAGGCCCAGAGAGGCTGACTCCCCTAACCCTAACCCTAAC